CCACGTCATTTTTGCCACGTCATTAGTCTTGAGCTGACTTGTTTGGTGTGCGCAACAGGAAATATCTCACTTTTGGAGAACAAGAAAATAGGTTTATTTGCGTTACACAATAATGTTTAGTTATTGTTCAAGAAAAAAAAGATTAATTTTTATTATAATGTTCTATTATTTTATATTAACAATTACTTATTAATTTCAGCCCTTTGTATTCAGCATGTCTCTATCGAAATAAACCTATGTTTCTTTTTCTTTTTTTATTGATTTTTTTTTTTAACAGAGAGAAAGGGAGAGAGACAGAGAGCTAGAAACGTCGATGAGAGAGAAACATCGACCAGCTGCCTCTTGCACACACCCTACCGGGGAAGTGCCCGCAACCAAGGTACATGCTCTTGACCGGAATCGAACCTGGGACCTTTCAGTCCGCAGACCGACGCTCTATCCACTGAGCCAAACCAGCTTTGGCATAAACCTATATTTCTATGAAAATTGAAGCTTTTGTTTTTTTGCCACCCACATAAACTTAAGCCTTGTTTATTTGGCCTGATTTAGCCTTCAAGTTTGGCATGCTTGGTGTAGGTGCTGTGGGGTGAAGCCCGTGTCCAATCCAGGCCTGCTCAGTTCCCAGGTGCCTGGTTCACGGGTGTCCTAGTCAGACAATGCAAGAGCCTGAAATAGGCCTGAGAAGGTATGCCCTTCAAAGTCATTCGTGGGCATGTTGTAGATATGACCATTCAGATAGGGGTTTCCAGGGGAGCAGCCTGAGTGTTGCAGGCACTTGGGAACGTGAACAGGACTGGGCCTCTTTTACTCTGTCACTGGCCGTAACCATCTGTGTAGTGTAAGCATATGAACCTAGGCGAACATGGAGCTGTGCACCCCATCCTGCCCTGGAAGGGTCTGCAGCCTAGGTTGGGAGCAGAATACACTCTTCCCAAAGATTAAAAGTACTAACAAGTGATGTGAGTCCACCTGGATTTCCAGGAGAAGTACCTCTAGAGAGAGAGACAGCAAACCAAAGGTTGCTGGAGGGGCGAGGGGGAGTGGGTTTGTCTGGACAGCCTGAGGGAACTTCCTGCCATTCTGCAGCGCTGATTTGAAGTTAGAGTGTTAGAGACAGGGCAGGCAGGCGAATGCTCAGGGTGTCGGAGCAGCCCTGGCGGATGCTGCTCTAGGCCCTCTGTGGAGCACAGTCACTGAGTGCTTGCCTGAGGCCCACGCTGTGCCGGCACAGGAGGCAGCCACCAACCTGGCAGGGGTGGCCTCCTCACGGGCTTACACTCCGTACTAGACAGACAAAATGAACAGAGTTCCAGGAGGAAAGTGAAATGTGACCTGCAGTTAGCACTGGCAGGTGGGGCACGGGGAGCACAGAGCCAGGGCTGCTTGGGTTGGAGTTTGAGAGGTCAGGAGCCTGTCTCCCAAAGACTGAAGAATCATTCAGTGGGCAAGAGGTCACCGCCATGTCTGACTGAGTGGCAGCCTCTGCCACACTGACTTCCCAGCCCTGGGCTGCCCAGCCTCCCAGGGCTTCTGCAGAAGGCAGGCTCCACAGGGCCCGGGCTGGCACCTGACCTGAGGCAGATTCTTGGAGGATGTTCTGGTTTGGGGTGGGCCCTGTATTGGCACTAGCTTGGATTTTACAACAGCAGCCATTGTGGGGCTTGCTGCTGGTTGACCCATTTTCTGACCTAGCCAGGTGGATCCCAGGAGGTATTGCTTTCCCACACCACTAAGGTCACAGCCACACGAGGGGCCTGGCATCCCCTGGAGGTGCCGTGGCCACGCAAGTCTCAAAACAGCGAGCTTATGAGGTTCCTGGCTTCTCAGATGTGAGAGAGAAAGTGGGCTTCAGTCCTCAGCTTGCCAGGCCCCACCAAGCGCTGTGCCCGTTTCCTCTCTTGCATGGGAACCTGATCAGGTTGTAGAGAGTACTAATTGCGGGGTGAAAGAGGCAGGCTCTGGTAATTTGTGGCACAGACTCTACACGTGGATGGGATTTCCACAGCAACATACTATTGCTCTTGTTGGGCCCAAAGACATATATAAACCTAAGCAGAACTGAAGTGTTGGTGTAGTGGCCTTCCCCATGCATGGGGCATCTCCCCAGAGAGCGTCCTGACCCTGAGCATCCTCAGGCAGCCCTAGAAAAGGCTGTACCTGGCACCCAAAGGTGGGAACCACACATGGCTCCCAGCTCTGCCTGTGGACCATTCAGGTCCCCTCTGCAGGGCCAGGTCCTGCTTCCTGGGGAGCCCACACTCAGCACTATACCCTTTCTTTGTTGCTGAGTTGGCATATGGCTTCTTTGGTTTTCACACTTTTTCTTTTTCTTTTTTAATAGATTACAGAAAGAGGAAAAGAGGGTGAGATAGAAACATCAATGATGAGAGAGAATCATTGACCAGCTGCCTCTTGCATGCTTCCTTTTGGGAATCAAGCCCACAACCCAAGCATGTGCCCTGGCCTAGAATTGAACCATGACGACCTGGTTCATGGGTCTGTGCTCAACCACTGAGCCGCACCATCCGGGCCCACTTTTCCTTTTGACCTCTTGTCATACTCTCATCCATTTGTATTGGTTCTAAAACTGAGACTTGGATGCCCTAGCTGGTTTGGCTCAGTGGATAGAGCATCGACCTGAGGACTGAAGGGTCCCAGGTTCGATTCCGACAAGGGCACATGCTCCAGTTGCGGGCTCGGTCCTGAGTGGGGGGCATGCAGGAGGAATCATTGATGTTTCTATCTCTCCCTCTCTCTTCCTCTCTAAAACCAATAAAAACGTAAAACTGAGACCTGGAGAGCTGGGACATGGGGGGCAGTTCACCACTACCTGAGGGGTTTGAGCTGAGAGCTCCAAAATGGGGTGGGGCAGGGAGATAGGTAGCCTGGTGGCTCCTCCAAGGCCCCCCAGTACCTGAGCACAGGGATGGGGATCTAGCCCTGAGCTGGGAACAGAGGAGTGTGCGGAGGACTTGGGAAAGCTGAGTCCTGAACTCCCAGGAGAGGTGGGGAGGGGACACTCCTGAGGGGCCTGGATGAGGATGCAGGGGTTCCTCCCTCAGGGAGCCGCTCCCTTCAGCGCCCTGCACTGAATGGGCCGTCTGGCCCCAGGGACCTCAGCCCGGAAGGTGTGGTTTTAAGCTTCAGCTCCCCTCTCAGTACCCCAGAGGAGTGTCTCACATCAGGCAGGCAACTCACTTCCTTCTCTGGCAACCACCGGATTTGAGAACATCCTATTTTCCCGTAATCAAAAGAAGTGAAACTGTCCCGTGAAATAAAGTGGAACGCCCCAGAACACCTAGGGCAGACAGGGTCTTTCCTTATGAATTTGTTAGCAGAAGCAGAAGCCCTTGCCTCTCCTGTGAGGTCCCCGAGAGCATGTGCACCACAGAGGACAGCCAGCGGGTCCGAGTGGTGACAGTCCCCGGTCAGCCCCACACACCAGCCCTGCTTCCTCCTTGTCCTCCCCCTTTCTGTCCCCTCTCCCTCCTATACTGATCTTTCTCACCTGTGCCCGGTTTTCTTCTTAGACTCCCCTCTAACTCTCAGGGTGGGGGCGGGGAGCATGAGTGGAGGAAGGATACGAACAGGCTAGGCCTGCCCTGGAGTTCTGCTCAGTCCCCATGGGGGGCCGAGACAGGTGGGGAAAGAAATAGTGGTCAGAGGTGTAGGCAGTGTGGTTGCCCAGTGTTTACTGTTTGCCAGGCACACTCCTGAGCACACGCATGCAGCAGGTCACAGAAGCCGGCACATGGCCCCCTGAGTGCATATCTGTCACCCCATTTCACAAGAGAAAAACAGAGGTCCACCCAGTGAAGCCCATTATCCATGACCACATAGGTAGAAGGTGGCGGGCCTGTCCTTGCATGTCAGTGACCTGGCTGCTCCTGTAGACTGACAGCCGCTGGGTGTCCTCAGGAGCCCCGGGAGGGGTTATGTGTGAGCAGAAACTGCTGCCAGCCATTAGGAAATGGAGTGTGTCTGTGTATGTGCCATGCGTGCATGAGTGTCTGATTTTTTTTCATGGCTTGTCCTCACCCGAGGATATTTTTTCAATTAATTTTTAGAGGGAGTTGGGGGGAGAGAAACATAAATGTGAGGGAGACACATCCATTGGTTGCGTCCCGCATGTGCCCCAGCAAGGCCAGGAATCAAACCTGTGTGACCCTTTGGTGCTTTAACCAAAGCAAGGCAATGCTCTAACCACTGCGCACATAGGCCAGGGCAAGTATCTGTGATTAAGCATGAGAAATTAAACATATCACTCGCGCCGAAACCGGTTTGGCTCAGCGGTGGAGTGTCGGTCTGCGGACTGAAGGGTCCCAGGTTCGATTCCGGTCAAGGGCATGTACGTTGGTTGCAGGCATATCCCCGGTAGGGGGTGTGCAAGAGGCAGCTGGTCGATGTTTCTCTCATCGACGTTTCTAGCTCTCTATCTCTCTCCCTTCCTCTCTGTAAAAAATCAATAAAAATACATTTAAAAAAAATAATAGCAACAGTTAAAAAAAAAAGAAAATAAACATGTCACTCGCTGCTGTTCGGGGTTGTGTGTTATTAAGCATCCAGAGTGTTGAAGCTATTCAGATGTGTGTGTGCCCACACATTTGGCCCGAGTAGGGCAAGTCTCTCCTTCCCTATCAGCTCTTATCAAACATGACACTTCCCCTGTTCGTTCAGCCATGGGACCTCCTCTCCATCATAGACTTGCTCGCCTCTCAGAAGCCTCCCCTCCCACTCACCCAGAGCATGCATTTTGGGGGATTTGCCGGACCCAGTGATCCCTGAGGTTCCTGCTGAGAGAAGGAGCCCCCACCTTCATTGAAGGAGCATGTGCTCTGTCACCCGTCTTGCCATTGGCTGCTGTGTTCAGCATCTCTGGGAAGCTGTCATGCACATCCTGACCCCGTGCTCTCCCACGGGCAGTGGACGTGGCAAGGCTGGGAGGCATCCTGGGGCCTCCTCTTCTGAGACTCACTCTTTTACCTTCTTCTGTTCCCCAGCTGGTCAGCGAGAAGGTCGGAGGGGCTGAAGGGACCAAGCTTGACGATGACTTCAAAGAGATGGAGAAGGTAATGGGAAGAGTGGCGTGCCCTGCCTAACGTCTGGCACCATTTACCCAGTCCCTCGCAAGGCCCAGCTCTGACATGTAGGCCAAGACTTATCAGGATGGACTAGAGGCATCAGGTGTCCCTTATGCCTGGGCAGGCAGCAGCGGGGAAATGGTGTAATGAACTACAGGGAGGCCAGGCAGCCCTCATAGCAGCGAGAAGTTCTTATGTGGGCTCCGAGGCAGGCAGGGACTGGGAAGCAGGGCAAGGGCTATCCAGGGACCCCTGGTTTGGTGTTGGGTGCCCCACTGGTTTGAAACCACACATGTTGCCTCTTTGCAGAAGGTGGATGTTACCAGCAAGGCTGTGGCGGAAGTGCTGGCCAGAACCATCGAATACCTGCAGCCCAACCCAGGTAGGGGCACCAGCTAGCTGCAAGTTCTTCCCGTTACCACAGCATGAAGAAGGAATGTAAGGGATCACAAAACTGAAATGTCAAGGGTAGGTGGGTTTAGGCATGGCTGGGCCAGGTATCTAAAGGATGTCCTTGGGGTCATGCATTTCCTTTCTGCTTCATCTGGCGGTTCTCATTTTTGTGTCAATCCCCACCTTAAGTCACCTTTGCAGCTAACAGTCCCAGCAGAAGAGAGCACCTCCCCCACCCCAACCAATTCATGGGTCAGTTTGAAATGGGTGTTCATTCTAGTTTGGCAGGCACCAGCCACATGCCTGCCTTTGGAGCATGACGTGGGGTCTCTTAGGATAGGGACCTTCCCTCAAGGAATATCCATTGCTAGTTCCTATGGACGTGGAACAGGTAGCAAACCCAGGCGTCTCCATTCAAGGCCTATGCCAGGGAGAGACCCAAGTAGGCAGAGGTAGGAGCACAGCTCCTCCCCCACCTCCGGAGGATATCCATGTCTGCAATGCCTGCACCTGCCCACCATCACTTGTCTAGCGTGCTAGTCCACCACGCCATTGAGGGGAGGGTCCACTCAGAGCTGTGCTCCAGGCTGAGGCGGCCCTGGGGGCTCCTGAAGAGCCGATCACCTCTCCTGTCCACTGCCCATGATCCTTTGTGGTCAAGAACAGAGTAGGGCAGGTCTGCTCAGGGGCTTCATAGCCTGGTTGTCAACAGGAATGGCAACCAAGTGCCCTGGGCCAGGGGAGCACTTCAGAAATACGTGGGCCTTGGGGAAGAGTGGGAGCTCCCAGGGCAGCAGTGCTAGCTGGGCAAGGCCTGGTGGGTCCTGGAGAAACCACCCACATGCCCATCCGACCCATTCTTTTCCAGCCTCAAGGGCCAAGCTGAGTATGCTCAACACGGTATCCAAGATCCGTGGGCAGGTGAAGAATCCTGGCTACCCGCAGTCGGAAGGCCTGCTGGGCGAGTGCATGATTCGTCACGGGAAGGAGCTGGGTGGCGAGTCCAACTTCGGTGAGGGCCACCACGACTGCCTCAGCAGGTTGCATGGGCAGGCGGCCAGGCTGAGGGAGGGAAGGCCAGCGCCTCCCCACCCTGGTGAGCAGGAGGGCACTTCCCTCCCATAGCTCCAGAATCTTCTCAGGTGCTGGCTGGTCCCATGGGGGAGGGAGAATCCCAGGACCACCTGCAGTGTTAAGGCCGCGGGAAGGCCTGCTCACACCACAGCGCATTCAGGGCAAAGCTGGCCCCCTCTGAGAGTGTGGAGGGAGCAGGTTGTTGGGCACTTGTCATTACCAGCCCCAGGCCACTGGCTCAGGAACAGACGTGATGGTCTGTTGCTCTGATTTCTGATCAGTCCTTGGCTGTGGGGTCATTTTAAAAGTTGGGGGCATGTTGGCCCCACAGGCATCCTGTGATGGCTCCTTCTCCTACCCACTACCCCCTCAGGCGACGCCCTGCTGGATGCAGGGGAGTCCATGAAGTGCCTGGCAGAGGTGAAGGACTCGTTGGACATAGAGGTCAAGCAGAACTTCATCGACCCCCTCCAGAACCTGTGCGACAAAGACTTGAAGGAGATCCAGGTATGCCTTGATGCCCTGTCCCTCATGCCCACCCCTCATATAGCCCTCAGGGATCCCACACAGCTCCCTCACTCAGTGAGCCTCTTCCCATCCTGGGCCCCTGCTCAGCTCACCTCTGTGCATACTTGCTGCGAGCAGGGCTGCAAGGCATTGGGGGGCCCTGCAATGTGACCCTCGCCCTGCCCCCAGCACCACTTGAAGAAGCTCGAGGGCCGCCGCCTGGACTTTGACTATAAGAAGAAGCGGCAGGGCAAGATCCCCGATGAGGAGCTGCGCCAGGCCCTGGAGAAGTTCGAGGAGTCCAAGGAGGTGGCGGAGACCAGCATGCACAACCTGCTGGAGACTGATGTACGTCCATGGTGGGGACTGCCGTTGCTTGGGAAGCCCCTGAAGCGAGTGCCAGCACCCAAGGGCTCAGTGCCGGTTTAGGAGGGAAGGGGAAGTGAAGGGGAAACAAGGAGCAGCGGTGGGCAGCAACTGGCACCCTGAGGCTTTCGGTGTCGTTGGGTCCTCCACCCTTCTCCAGCTGCAGCTCAAAGGTCAGCCGGGCCCCAGTGCCTGGCGCAGTCTGGGAAGGCTCCTTGCAGGAAGTGGCCTGGAGATGGGAGTTAGAGGTCAGCCCCTCTTCAGTTCTGGCTGGTTGCTTGCAGATAGAGCAGGTGAGCCAGCTCTCTGCCCTGGTGGATGCCCAGTTGGAATACCACCGGCAGGCCGTGCAGATCCTGGACGAGCTGGCCAGCAAGCTTAAGCGAAGGTGAGCCCCTTCCCTTCTGTGCGGCCAGGAAAGGCCTACTGGCTGCGGGGTCCCTGCTCTGGGATCCTGGGCTGGTAGCAGGCTTTCCTAATCTCTGGGCTGTGCGGATCCTGCAAGGGAATAGGACCTCCTCGGGCTTGTCCTGTCCCTGAGGAGAGGGTTGGAGTGGCGGTGGGACAAGAGCCAACCTGAGGGGGTGGGAGGCAGCTTACCCAGGGCAGACTCCAGGAACCCTTCCTCCACTGCTAGTCTCCTTGGTTGGCAGTGGTTCCCTGGTGGGGCCACTTGGCAACCTGAAAAATGCCCTGGTCTGGGATCTGGCCCAGGGGGTCCCCCAGGATTCCCATGTGTTGTGTCCATCTCACAGCCTCCCACTGTCCATGTGGCAGCAGCAAAATCAGCTTGGGGGGCGGGGGGCGTTGTTCTCTGGCCTTGACACCTTTGAGCTGGCTCTGTGACTGCTCACACCTCCCCCTTCACTGCAGGATGCGGGAAGCCTCTTCGCGCCCCAAACGTGAATATAAGCCCAAGCCCCGGGAGAGCTTTGAGAATGCAGAGTCTGAGCAGTCCAACGGGGGCTTCCCGGCCCCCAAGATCACAGGTGAGGTGTGGGAGGGGAGTGTTTTCCCAGGGCCTCAGCGACAGGCCTCTTGTGGGGCAGCCCCAGCCTGCTGTCCCGTCTAAGCCCTTTGCAAAAGGGGACCCAGAGATGGGACCAGGCCCCACCTCAGCACTCTCAGCTCAGCTGTGTGTTTTGTTTGCAGCCTCGTCATCTTTCCGATCTTCCGACAAGCCCATCCGGACCCCCAGCAGGACCATGCGTGAGTGTCCCCCTGCCTCGGTTTATAACAGTGCCTTCGAGTCTGTCCTGGGAGGGTCTTTCTGACTCCCGATCAGTAGAAGTGCACACCGGTTGGGGTTTCCTCAGACCCTCAAGCAGGGCAGGAGCTGAGTTCTTGCCTCTGTGGCCTCAGCCTTCCAGGGGAAATGGGCCGCTGTGAGCGTCCAGGGCACCCTGAGGGCGGTGGGCTCTGGGCCACCGCGCTTCCCTGGGTCCTCCATCCTTCGTGTGTCACTGCTCCTTATTCCAAACCACCACGGGGAGCCAGTGGAAGGGTGGCTCTTCTTAGGGGAAACTGAGGCACAGCGAGGCAGCAGGTGGGGTTTGAGCTGGATGCCCAGACCTTACACTCATACCCTGCCCACCCCCAGCGCCCCTGGACCAGCCAAGCTGCAAGGCACTCTATGACTTTGAGCCTGAGAACGATGGGGAGCTGGGCTTCCATGAGGGCGACATCATCACCCTGACCAACCAGATCGACGAGAACTGGTACGAGGGCATGCTCCATGGCCAGTCGGGCTTCTTCCCCCTCAGCTACGTGGAGGTGCTGGTGCCCCTGCCTCAGTGACAGCATGGGCCTGCTCACCTCTCCGTCCAGATCGCCTGTATTCCGCTCGGCCCGAAGCACAGCAAGGGCAGTGCTCCTCCCGGGGCCTCCCGAGGTATTCCCAGGGCACCAGGACTCGAGGCAGCAGGGCCAATCGGAGAGGCCAGGGGCCCTGTTTACACTAGTGCTCACCATAGAGGTGGTGTGGGCTCCCCTCCCACCGCCCTGAGGGGAGCTAACACTAAGGTGCTCTTAGAAACACTAACTTCCTCCCGCCCCTCCAGGACTGGTAACTCTGGGTGGGTCCCCTTCACTCAGACACACATACCCTCTGTCCCCTCCTTATTGTGAGCAGACAAAGTCTGTGTGATGCGGTGGTCCAAGCAGGACCCCTGGCCCAGACTCACCTGCTTTTAAATTCCAAGACACTCCTCAGGCCCCTGCATGCCCACAGATGCCACCTCCCTAGCGGGGCCTCACCCAGGGGCCCTGTCCTCAGCTGCAGGGCTGAGCCCCACACACCCATGCCCACCCCTAACCAAGCACATGGACCATTTTTGGCACAAGCTGCCACCACCAGCTACACACACACACACACCACATACATGGGACCATGGGAGCCCCCAGCTTCCTCTCTGCTGAAAGTCAAGCACAAAGGCTTTGATGAGTGAATGTTGCCAGACCCCTGGCTGCTCGGGAGGGTCACAGGGCCTCCCCCTTCCCAAGCTGGCTGCCATCCCCCTGTTGACAGTATCCCCAGCTGTCTCCTCCAGACCAAGGTAGGCAGCTGCCAGACCAGCAGGGCCCAGCCCTGCATCTGCTTCGCCTCTCGCCTAATCTGAAATTGGCCTCGGGGGACCTCGGGCCTGGTTCACATTCCCTTCCCCCGTGACCCTGCACAGCCCATGACACCAGGCTCTGCTCGTCCCAGGGCCCCCCACCGTCCTGAGTGGGTGCGACACAGGCATCCGGACCAAGACAAGCAGCGTAGCCTTGGTCAGTCTAGGGCAATGGAAATGTAATCCTGACTTTTTTAAAGAAGTATTAAACGTCTCTTTCTACAGTCTCTTGCCTGGTTGTGGTGTGGGACATCCACAGCCCTCCCAAGGGGTCTCTGGCCAGGACAGGGCCTACACAGTTGCCCACCTACCCACCCCATAGCAAGCCCAGGGAGGGACAGGGCTAGGGATGGGCCAAGCACTGTCCACACACTCAGCTGCCCAGACAGCAGCCTACATGCCCAGCAGCAAGTGCTAGGCCCCCCTCAGGGTGAGACACAGGCCTGGGCTGTTCGCTTCTCTCCTTTATTACATGAGCTCCTGCCATCGGACACCTCAGGCCCACAGGAACAGCAACACAGTCGCGAACGAAGCCTCTCGATCGCTCCCCCTCACCCAGGGTTGGGGGGTGCCGAGTCTGACCAGGAGGCCTCCCAGGTCCTCAGAGGTCCATCCTCTCAGTTCCCTTGCTTAAGGACGCTGTACACCTGCTCCAGCACATGGCACAGGCCCTGGTCCTTGGGCATCCTGCTGGCCAGGGAGATCTGAAACAATCAGGCCTGGTGCCTCAGGACTACGTCCGCAGTCCTGGCCTGGCCTCGCCCCCAAAGCCCAAGCACTGCCACATGGCAGAGGGCTCGCCTGCCCGCGGTTCACAGTGGTATCCCTAACCAAAGCTTTCCAACAAAAAGGATGTCAAGTAACAAGACCCAGCTGACTAATGTTTGGGGCGAGGGGGTCATCTGCACTTTACAAATCCTGCTGTCACGCCAGCCTGGATCCCACACGTGCCACATGCTGAGAGCCACCCAGAAACCCTCCCCCTCCCACCGCACCCCTAGCAGCCCAGTGCCTGGCTGGGAGGTGACAAGGAACTTTAAACCCTGGCCTGGTTACTATTTTCTTTAAAGTTGAACAGCCCTGGCCTGGTTAGGACATCAGCCCATGCACCACAGGGTCTCCGGTTCAATTTCTGGTCAAGGGCAGGTACCTGGATTGCAGGTTTGATCCATGGCCCCAGGTTGGGGTACATGTGGGAGGCAACCAACCGATGTGTCTCTTTCACATCCATGTTTCTCCCCCCCACACACACACTCTAAAAATCAATGGAAAAAACATCCTCAGGTAAGGATTAACAAAATATAAAAGTTTGAACAAAACAAGCAAAAGTGTGAAACTCTATGCAAAGCAGAGGTGAGAGCATCTTCTGAGGATGACTTTCAAACAGGAAATAAATCAGACACACGGGAGGCCAATAAAAGCCTAATTTAAATGACCCACTACCTGGGGGCCAGTGTGCACGTTCACAACACCAGCAGCTCTCGAGACTGAACCAGATCAGAACCCGGCACCCCCTGAGTGGCCGCCAGTGCAGCTTCAGCGGGGCTGACCCAGGGTCTTGGAGTCTGTCTACAGGACTAAGGGTTCACCTCCACTTTGATGGTGATTCCCACCCCACCCTCGTGATAAGGCTTTGGGGCACTGTTCATTTCCAGCTGAAATACTTCAATGAAATACTTAGGTGAGGGAATCCCTTTCTCAAGCCGCCCATGAGTGTATTCTTGGGTGCTCTCCAGGAGCTGTCTTCCAGGAGGGGTTCACATGGGACTTGGGTAGAGGTCTTACCTTGAGCTTGTCCAGGTAGGTGTGCTCCTGGTTCCAGGCTTCCTGGAACCTCACCAGGTCCGGGGCGCCCTTGTAGAACTCCACCAGCAGCATCTACAGGACAGGGGCTGGTTGGGGCCCCTCGCTCCCGCCTCCCCACGCCAGGCACTGGGACCCAGCGTGAGCAGGACGTGCTGCCGCTGCCTATTGCCTGTCGTGAAGGCTTCGGGGCTAATGCGAGCAGACACCGCTCACCCAGTCCACTGAGGCGCCCGCCCAGCAGACAGGAGGGCGCTCAGCAGGAGGCTTATGGAGGGGAGAGGGAACTGCCCGAGAGGCTGAGGGAGGCACATTGAACGTGCTGTCTCACGGGCCTGACCGCTCCTTGCTTTAGCCTCACTGATACCGTGAAACCACAGGTGGCATGAACTAGCTCCCTTTTTTAATGCCTGTTGAGCCACAGGCATAAACCATCCTGCTAACACCTGACGTCCTCCACGTGTCTCCCCTTGGAGAGGCAGTGGCAGGTGCAGAGGCCCGAGATAGCAGCATCCCTGGTGTGTCCACAACAACCAGGAGGCCTGGGGGTGAGGAAGGGGTGCTGCAAGGACCTGGGCCTGGGTCCTAAGGGCCCCGGGTGGTTATCTGCAGAAGAGGGACCTGGCCAGGGCCCCGGTGTGGCAAAGTCAGCCACGGCTTCCGAGTCGGACCTTGTCCTGTAGGTCCAGCTGGGAGGCACTTTCATGAGGAGGGGTGCACCCACCTCACCTGGGAGTGAGCTCACCATCTCGTGGAGGACGTCATTGGTCAGGAAGCTGTCCTGGACGTAAGCCATCTCCACGTCCATGGGGATACCGTAGTCACTGGGCCTTTGCTGGCAGGGACACCGGCCAGTCACCACCAGCCACCCCAAGCCTCCCACCCCATGACACATCCAGCACGTTGACCCTTGGCCTCCCCCAGGAGCCCCACCTACCTCAGGGGGTGGCATCACCCAGAACGGGGAGATCTTGGACTCTGGACCCTGGTTGCCAGAGTAGTAAGGGGCTGTGGGAGGAGAGAAAGGGGCTGGGCCTGGGGGGCTCATGCTCCAGGAGTCACACACACACACACACACACCTACCCCAGCGGGGCACTTACAGCAGAGCAGGGCGAGGCAGGGCTGGAAGCCATTGCTGGAGCCCTGCAGCCGCAGTTGGTAGTCCATCTGCGTGTCAATGTCCTGCAGCGATGGCAGCGCCGGGCTGTGTGGGTGGCTGTGGTACCAGCCCACCAGGGACAGGCCGCGTAGAAGCAGGCTCTGGTAGATCTGGGGACAGAGGCAGGGCTGGAGAGGATGGGGAGCTGGATCCTACCAGCCTTGGTGTGCTCCTGACTGCCATCCCGCTCCACGTGAGGGCAGCACATAATGAGTATCCGCTGTGGACCAGGCCTGCCCCACGCCCACCCTAACAAGTCCGGTTGGGGATGGTCAACGGGTACATAAAAAAGATGCACCTGTTGCCGAAACCGGTTTGGCTCAGTGGTAGAGCGTCAGTCTGCGGACTGAAAGGTCCCGGGTTCGATTTCGGTCAAGGGCATGTACATTGGTTGCGGGCACAGCCCCAGTAGGGGGTGTGCAAGAGGCAGCTGGTCGATGTTTCTCTCTCATCGACGTTTCTAGCTCTCTATCCCTCTCTCCTCCTCCTCATAAAAAATCAATAAAATATATTAAAAAAAAAAAAAAAAAGATGCACCTGTCATGAAACAAAGGCAAAAAGTGATTTTCCTGGTGTGTCCCAACTCCTGCAACAATGCCTGCCACACAGTAGATGCTCAGTAAACTGTTAAGGAGGTGGATATGCGTGCATTTGAGCAGGCACAGGCATTCCTGAAGCCTTCAAGTGGAGGCGAGCAGGGGCAGAAAGAGAACGATTCTAGCTGAACCACCACCCATTCACTCTCCCTGAGGTGGGTGCAGAGCGCTGAGCACGGTGCCAGGTGCACACTAAGAACCATTAGGAAAACATCAAGAACGGCAGCCCGATGGGGTGGTTCAGTGGTTGAGCATCGATCTATGAACCAGGAGGTCACGGTTTCATGTGTCCTGACTTGGTTGCTGGCTTGATTCCCAGTGGAGGTTTGCAGGAGGCAGCCAATCAATGATTCTCTCTCATCATTGATGTTTTCTATCTCTCTCCTTTCCTCTCTGAAATCAATAAAAATATATATTATAAAAAACAAAAAAAATTTTTAAAGCCCAGCTGATGTGGTTCAGTGGTTGAGCATCAACCTTTGAACCAGGAGGTTACAGTTCAATTCCGATCAGGGCACATGCCTAGGTTGTGGGCTCGATCCCCAGTGTGGGGTGTGCAGGAGGCAGCTGATCAAATGATCCTATTCTCTCTCATCATTGATGTATCTAACTCTCTAGCTTAGGGGTGTCGAACTCAATCAGAGAAGGGGCCAAAATCTAAAATCCAGCCTAAATCGCGGGCCGAATGGTTTACTGAACAGTCATAAACTGTCATTGTGATGGAAACGCAGCAGAGTGCAGTGATGACAGCGCGGTGCGGGCCACATTGCAAGGCCTGGTGGGACGGATTTGGCCCGCGGGCCTTGTGTTTGACACATGTGCTCTAGCTCTTCCTCTCTGAAATAAAAAGATATTTATTTAAGAAATGGCAGTTAAGGCCTGGCTGGTTTTGTTCAGTGGTTAGAGTGTCTGCCCATGGACCAAAGGGTCTCGGGTTCGATTCCCGATCAAGGGCACACAGGTTAAGGGTACACATACCTCAGTTGGAAGGCAACCAATCAGTGTGTGTCTCTCGCATCGATGTTTCTCTCTCTCTCTCTCCCCTCCTCCCTCTCTTCCACTCTATCTAGAAATCAATGAAAAAAATATCGAGTGAGGATTTAAAAAAAAAAAAAATAGCCATTAAAGTGTATCCAGCCCTTACTAGGTGTCAGGTGGGGCAGGCGCTCACACATGCTCATTTGCGCATTTTTTGAGCATTGACTTTGCCAGCTGCCATCCCACCCCGGAAAGCCCCACCCAGTGTCCCCTCACCTCCTCCTCCACAGTGGCCCCGGTATCCACGTCCCCCAGCCGGCTGCGACAGGGAAAGGCTCTCAGCACCGTGAGCACTGCACAGGGCGAGGAGAGAAGGCGTGGCTATCGACCCAGCCCCCAGCATCCCCCTGCCCCTGGGCCCCAGTTACCCACTCTGGCTGTTGATGTCCCAGCGGCCCCCCAGGTACCCCACGACCTCGCTGCGAGTTAGGTGGCTGTGGAAGTCCTGGGAGAGGTACATGAAAAGACACATTCAGCTACACCGGCCCCAGCCTATCCTGGGAGTCCGGGCAGCCCTCTCACCTCTTCCTTCACCCAAACACTGGAGCACCTGTGAGCAAGCAGACAAGGTGCCCACCCACATAGAGCTGACATTCCAGGGACCCCATCTGCCTCCAGAGCACCCCAGCC